GATATCGATCTTACATTGCGTATTGTAAGAAAGAAGTTCGGAACCTTTCAAAGACTTTAAAATGCAAGTAAATGTTCTTTTAGAACTTTTTTTAGATTTTTATAGTTCGCCTTAAATGCATCTGATTTAAACGGTGTCTACATTTGATAAAATGAGATCATTAAAGCTGTACCTGACTTTTAATAGGTTAACACTTTGATTGTGCAGATTTCATAGACCACAAGTTTGCCGACGTCGGTGGTTCGCTCATTGAGCTGAAGTGCCGAAACCACTTAACGGATACCCCAAAGGCACCCTACCTCGAATGCCTCCGCAGTAGTCGCGATTCGATATCTGAGATTATGGAGAGTTTTATTCGCTCTACCTTTATGCACAACGATACCTTCGATGGATCGGCCGCCTTCCTCTTCAACCTCATGCTCAGTCTCCGCGTGCCTGGTGTGACCTCTCAAAACTCTTCCTAGTAAGATATCTATCTTCTGTTTAATCTACTTCTTTAAAATGTTTTACTTCTAGTACAAAATCTAAAAATAATGTATTTGATAAAATCGCAAAGTTATTATTATGCCCTTGCTATTGCTTTGATATAGCCTCTATAAAAACTTAATGCCTTCCCCGAGCGGTCCACATCCATATTTCTGGCTACGTGTTTTATGGCCACCATCAATGCGTCCTCGATTTTGTGGCTATATTTGTAGGTAATCACCTCCCTGATGCTCCAAAAGTAACAGTCTAAGGACATTGAGATAAAAAGACGAAAGTTGTTCCAAAGAAAATTGAGCCATTTTAGGGGTTAAATGGTGCAAATATTTTCGTTTCAGGGATGACAGCTCCGTACATTTTGCTTTCAAATGGTCCTCCTAAAAAGTGTTCCGTACTACAAGAAGCTCGTTCTTCTTTATGTCTCAGCCGGAGACTGTGTTCGAATATGGAGTGGTGTACCAACAACCAAAATATTTTTATGACCAAAATTGGAGAATGGCCCGTCTGTTAGGGATTCACTATCACCCAAAAGAGAGTGGAACGTAATTAAAGTGTCACATCATGCTTTTAAATTCTTTTGACCTTTAAGCCACGAATACTAGGCAAAAGCTAAAAAATTTCACTCTTTTCAGTCAAAAGTCTCGTAATGTTTTGGGTTTTAATTTTTTTTCATTTCATATGTTCGTGTTGATTCGATTCTTAATCGCTTCGTGTTGTTCATCCAAAAAAATGGTGAACAGTGATTAATCTTGGCACACATTTTGTGTTGTTTGGTTGGTTGAGGTACTGTGGAACTACGAACGGCTCTTCCTCTTCTCTGCTTCCTCTCGCCTTCAACGGGATCACATTCCTAAAGGGCATTGCACTCCCTTTTATCAGGATATAATTGCAGTTGAGAAACTGTTGATTAGACCTGCGCAGCAGCAGGCACTCCTCTTTCACCACTGACGCACACTTTGGAAGCTCCTTGACGAAATGTGGTGCAGTGACTCAAAAATCTCCTCTCTTTTCGATGTCGTCTATCGCAGTGTAATGCGAGTTGTTCGATTTTGTTGAGAAGAGAGAATTTAGCACATGAAGCAAAATCGATGTATGGGAATATTTAACAATCAAATGGACGACCGGAGATGGTTTTGTTTCGTGACGACCCACACATTTAGACTTCTTCGTAACCTTTTCAGATCATTTGGTCAATTAATGCGGCAGTAAGCTCTTTCACCATTCAACCGATCGCAAATTTAGGCGTGCAAATGGCGATGGTGTCGCTCTTTACATCCACTCGCCCTAATCTTAGGGTCGTTGGAGCTGTGTGGAGCCCTTTTCCAGATGGTTATCAAGACATGAGAAGACACCGCTGTGTGTATTAGCCATTTTCTCCAGTTTAAAAAAATGACAGCTAACTGGTCCTCAAATTGACTTCTTTCTATGGAAATAGCAAAAGGTTCACTTGATTGTGAATTTGTGTCTCGTTTCTTCCTTACAGAAGGGCTTTTCATTTGAAACTTTGGTTTTAGTATGTGTGGAAAATCATGCAGTTTGTTAAGAGGTTTATGAATGTGCGACGTGCGCACTCTTTTAAATCTGGAAGTGGGTGAGGTCAGGGCAGCACCACGAGACCATCTCAAACACCCAAACGGTCAGCCTGTCTTTCCCATGGAAGGAGGTCCACATGGTTTCGAGGTCTTATTTAAACTTCAAAAAAGTTTGTTTCTCAGTGTTAGGCTACTTAACAATGGGAGAAGTGATTCCAACCTAAATGACGTTTGAAGGAGGAGCCTTTTTTTTTCACTCCACACGTCATTGGCTAACCTTCAAAGCTCAGCTACTTTCAAACTCATAACAGCTAGGGCCCGCATCTCTCGTGCCTAAAATGACGGTGTCCTCACCGAAGTAGTACGTGCAATCGTGCTCTTTAATTACAACTGACAGGCTGCCAAAGCTGAACATCCCAAGGTCTCCACAGAAGTGCCTTAAACGCGTTTATTGCGATAAAGAATGTCTGTGCTATGTTCAGCTTCATCCATTGTATATCCTCTCACATCACCTACCGTGCAGGTAAGAGGCAGGAGGAGGGATGTGAGAAAACTCTTTCTTCTTTTTGATTGACGATAATAACCTTCCCGTGGCATCAGACGTTCCCAGTTGGGAACACAAGTGAGAGGAGAAGTAAAGGCGCATAAAAGCAAATAAGTTACTTTAACTCTGGAGTAAAAAACGTTGGGCACAAGTGATCCACCAACTGACCGTCAGATTTCGCCAGATACCAGATGAGGCCTTTGAGATGGACGTGGAAATTACTCACATTTCATTAAGTCGTAAACAATGAGAAAAAATACCCTACAGTGCACCTGATTTTGTTTTTGTCGCATAAAAGTTTTCTCTTTTGATGAATATGACTTAAGAAACAGAATATTTGTGTGTTTTGATTAATTACACCAATTTTAGTGCAGGAGTGGTACATCCTACTCAAATAATCATAAGTAGCACGGTTTGGTCTATTAGATCCTGTTGAACTACTCATTCGAAGCAAACACGAAGAACTTAAAGGTTGCAAGTCCTTATTTTTGGTTATAAACAAAGAGAGGTTAGTGACTCCATGAAAGCCTCTGCATATTTGGCCTCAAGTCTATTCGAAGGTAGAAATCGGAAATTTCTCCTGGTGAGGCTGGAGATCCACTCTTGGGCATTGCATTGACCCAAAGGCATTTAATGTGGCTCTGAAATATAAATCCTGCACAATCTCACCTATAATACGCTCCTTTGCCCTCAAAATCCGCGGACCAGTCTCACACATGCATTTCCTTGCCTCTGAATGAATTTAACGTTATTACCAGGCCTGCATACGACAAATAAACTGCGTTCTCTTGCGCCGAAACAACGGGCTAAACACTTAAAACTCTCCGCACTCCTAAATCAAATCGAAAAAGGCCCCTCTAGGTTCCATCGTTGTCACAAATATTCACGCAGCCAAATTTTGGATTTATGAGCTGATTTGTCAACTATTTCTGGGTTAATAAATGTTCCCATCTCCACTATTTTTTGGAGGGGGAATAAATCCCCTCAGACATGCCTCGCACTCGCTAGGGACTAAAAGGTTTGAATGTTTTTAAATATTTACTCGTGTGGCGACTTCCCTACTGTTCCTTTTAGGCGAGTGACCAGTGCCAGTTGGTTGGAGGGCTTAGGCAAATAAGAAGGACATTTCAAATTTTTGGTGCCTTGACTTCATTCTTTAGGTTTCAACACGCGTTCTTTGTTTGTGCCTTTTTAAGTCGGCACAAGTCTAGGATGATAAATGAAAATGTCACTGGTATTTATTTATCTGGAAATCATCGCAAATAAACACATCTAAAAGGACGATTTTGAGTCGGGAAATGTGGCAGTCGCATTGAAGGCCCCATACTGCCTTCAAAGTCGGTGTAGTTCTAGCCACAGCAATCACTGGCAGGCAGGAGAGTGGACGGAAACGGTGAACGGCTTTCCGGTTGAAATTGATACGCATAAAGTAAAGTAGCTTCGACTTTCTTCCTCCATTTTTGTCTCTTCCTGTATCAAGGTAGCTTAGAAGTGGATGCACTTTTTGTGAATACGTCGCTGTTCCATTGGAATAGATTTTCTGACAAGCCAGTCCATCTCTGCATCCGCTTGCGCTATCGGTGTTCGGTTCAGAGTGACTTGGCGATCACTTGGAAGGTAGCAGACAAACTATTGAAAAAACTCAGATTACATCCTAGATTGTAGAATGGCGGCTTTGTCCAAAGGGAGTTTCACGACACTCAGGGGAGAGTCAAAGCATCTCATTTTTAAGCACAACTTTGACATCATTCATGGCCACACCAGAGATGAAAACGGAGTTTTAGCTATGAACAGTCCCTCTTTTATAGAACTGCTTGCGAAGATGTTAGAGCGTTGGCATCGCGGGAATGTCAGGTTCAAACAGTTTAGAGGCCAAATGAGGAAATGCGTGACTCCCACTCTCTCATCCGAAGGACACTTTCCACTGCTTTTAGATGGTTGGCGCACCCAACTCGCATAGATCTTCAATTCATAAATGAGAAAAGCACACTTTATGGAGCACGGAACTCTTTCAACATGCGATTACAAGTATGTGAGGGTGTTGCTCCTAGTCTTTAACTTCTCAGTTAGAAACTAAGAGCGTGAAGGACTTCTCATGTAACCAATTCAACCGAGGAGACACTAGTAACGCAGATGTTTTTTTTTCTCCGAACGGCTAAAAGTTAGCTGCGATATTCGCCTCCGTCTAACGCTTCAATGCCTAGAAGTTAGTAAAAAAAGTCTCCTGGACCCTGGGTGTCTCTACTCCTCTCTCTCTCTCGCTCTCTCCCCTCTATTCCGAAATGAGCGAGCAAAGAGCGAGCGGTAGCGCTCGGATGAGTATCAACAGTTGACTATTAAAAACGCGGTAACTTTTCGCCTCCACCTCTACTCCCCAGAGTGAGGTGCACGAAGTGTAGAAAACATAATATTAGCCTAAAAGATAGGAAGTATTAGTTTATATGTCATCTGTTTCACATGGATACTTCGAAACCGCTAGTTGCGGTGCTACCGCTCTAAAGTGAGTGGAACTTTAGTCTGTTAGCTTCGCGCAGCAGATCTGACACTGTCACGTGTCCATCAGGGTTTCTATGATGGTTAGCAAAAGCGCTTTACAAAGGCTTGTCTGACGAGGAGGAACCACGCCGAGGCGGGTCCCCCAATCCTGGTGATGAAAGGTCACCAAATCGAGAGTTGAGTATTAGGGCGGTGGTGAACATAATTGAAACGATAGGTGTAGGCGGAAGCTGACTACATCGATGAGTCTCATCCCTACAACTTTGCCCACTTCCACTGTCAATACTGTTGCCTTAAAAGATTTTTTAAACGTTTTAAGGAGGTAACAAGATTTAAAACGGGAAATGCACTGCTGACGCAAAGTAGAGGCTGGGGGATACCGAAAGGCCCCAAAGCTGACACCGCACAAACAAAGGTAATTGTCACCCAAAGCTGAAATCACCAAGCAGTTTGTGTTTAAAAAAGTTTTAAATGTTGAATTTTAGAAGGCGCAATTCGTACCTCTGGATGATCGGTAAGCATGAATGTAGAAATGCTTTGGCAATTCCGAACGGCAGTTGTTGAAGTACTTCTTCCGTTGACTAACTGACTAACCCCTTGCAAAGCATTTGTTCAGTCGCGTTAACCACGTCAAACCGTCTAATTAGTGCGCACCATGCAGTTTAAACTCAAACGAACTTCCTCACCGCAATCTAGGGTTGGCGTCTAAATTCGTCCTTGAAAAGATCAAAAAGGCTCATGAGCTCCTAATTAGTAGGTGGGAAATTTGGTAGCAAAGAAAACTGACACAATCATTAAACTCTACCTCCAACAAGGTGACCAGAGGGTTCATAGAAGTGGCATTTGCATGAATTTGACTGACCTTGAAGGAAGTCGCAACGTGATTGGTTGGTTCCCACATCAACTATCACAACGGCGATCTGTAAACCGACAATCAGCAAATGATGCAACTGTAAATAAAATTAGTATATCCGTAGGCATGAAAATCGCACCCGATTACCTCAATTATTTCATCTCTTTTATTAACAGACTTAAAACGTTAGGAAGTTGGCTTTGATAAGAAATTTACGAAGGATAAGGCTCACCACAGCGGACTATGCAAGTGATGTGCGACTGTAAAACACAAAAAAAACAGAGAGCAAAACCTAATTGTGCCACTTGCATAAACTAATGTGGTTATAAGGGGATCTAACCTGGACCTCAACAAGCCCCTTGTCGAATACAGCCTCCCATCGAGAAGTGAGAAAAGAAAATTGTAACTACCGAATGATGTCATCAAAAATTGTGCATTTTTTAGCTTTCTAATGTTTACTGACGCAGTGTTTTAAGTTAACTTTTAAGTCCTCTTTCAACTTTTGTTAAGATTGTATTGTTAGTTGGCTTCGGTTCGGTATTAATCACTGCTTCTCGCAACACTACGAAATGATACCGACGGTAGTGGCGGCCATGCTGGAAGGTTTTGTATCAACTTTCATTGACAGATCCATTGTAAAGGCTTCCCGTCTTCGCATTGTTAAACCTTCCCTTTATCATCGCTTTCCCTCACACAGATCCTTAGTTTGAGGCAACAGCTCAAGGATAATAAAAATGGAAGACTGTGGATTCTGCTATCCTTTTAAATGAATCTCCTTAGAAGCCGAATACCCTGTATGCTGACTGCATTCACTTTAAAGCAGTGTTGAGTGAAATTTTCGACTCTTTTAATGTGCCAGCTGTTCATGGACTCTGGAAAAGGCCATATCAGGACAAGTATCGCAGGTTCTGCGCATTCTTCGCAGCCTCTCTGGTCCGCATGCTTGTGGACACTCGTCGCGATGGTCTGTCGGTGGGAGGAGTGGCCACCTGACGGTGTGGGAGTTCATGAAACGAACTAAAATGACTGGTCGGGTCTTTTATCTACTTCGTAGTATTGTTCATCTCATGGAGACCACCAAGACCCTGGAATACCTTCAGTGGCTGCTTCAACAGCTCAGCTCTGTGAGTGGAGGTCTTCATTTTGCGTGAATCTTAAACATCACTGTTTATCACTTGCAAGACATGAACCATTACATAAAAGCAAGCCAAATTCCACTGTCGAACTCACCTTTTAAAGCAACAGCGAAGTCATGCAGAGGGGATAGGAAACTGAAATTGTAGTACCCATTCGATATTGCAGACGCAGGTGATGCAAATTATACTTTAAAAACCCGTGTAAAGTGTCGAGCATCAAACATCTGATGACACTGCGGTAGTCACCAAAGCTAGGGATGCACTGAACTTGTGTTCATTGAAATCAGTTGTTTTCTTGTTTCATTCAGTCAACGTCATCGTTGACGTCTAGTGCTCAAATCCTCCTCGAGAGTTTGGTGAGACGTTTGAGTGCATTTACAGTGGCTGTTGGGGTCCACAGAATGCACATCGATGCTTCCATTTAGCAATCTACACCACGGGATTTACAGTTTTCCTTCGTAGGCGCGTTGAGGTCACCGTGTTGGGTGAGACCGTCCCATACTTGATCTTCGAAGAATACCCCTCCTCTTGCCACAGATTAAAAGCTTAAAGATTAACGTGTCACAGAACGTCGATCCCCATTTACATCATCGAGTGCGACTATGTAGGAAGAATAGGCGGTGACAAGTGGCAACCAGCCAGATGTGACGGCTGTAAGCCTCTCATATCCTCCTTCCACAATCGCACGTCATGCTTATTCAATGGACAAGCCAATGTTGCGATGACATTTGATCCTTAAAATTAGAATGTTTCGCCATTCACTGTTCCACCTGAAGGTCTCTATAAACGGAAATTGAGTAACAATGCGGGTGCAATCGGATCCCTTCTAAACCCAAAAAAGATCAGTAAATCGCCTCCTTTAAGGAGAATTGACAGAGTATATTTAAAGTGAAGGATGAAGGAAGGGGAAAGAGGTGGTGCCACCATTACCACAGTGACATCAACGATCAAATTAGGATTTTGCTACAGACGACAGGGGATGAACAAAGCCATAGACGAATCGTACTTAGGGGATCCAAAGAGACAAAATAATTAAAAGCTCTATTAGTTGTCATGTGGTAGTCTAGTTCGGATTCTTAAGCAAATGTTCCCTTCAATTTCCAACAATCTTGTTATTAGTTTGATCTTGGAAGCCACGGATGTGATCGGGTGCTCATGCAAATGCGGCACTGTTCTCTCTGTGCTGGCTACCCTCTTGTTCACCCTTGTCCGGCCTTCTGCGAGGTCTCCTTGGCTCGTTGTCTTCGTCCAATCAACAAACTCCAATCCTCTTGGACTAGCCTGATTAGTGAGTTGCTCTAAAATTAGAGGCATTAAATTTCACTTTCCAATTCCATATCTGTTAGAAATGACGTGGGAAGTAGTGCAAATGCCTTACAAAACCTTCCAGGTAAAAAAAGGTCCAAACTTTTATCGAGTCGATTTATCTAGTCATGAAGTGGCTTAAACTCTCCGTGCACCGACTTCTTTCGTGGAAGACGCAACTGCCAGACAACCTCTGGATTCAGCTCCGGATTCTGCTTAAGCCCAGTAGTCGAGGACAGACCCACGGGTTTTATGGCTAGTCTAGTTGATAGGCTTTTGCATTTTGTGAAGACAAAAAAAGGCTAACGAGACTCCAAGTCTTTGACAGCAGGACCACCTATGCGGAACACAGGGTCTCCTCGAAGGTCAGTATCAGAAGGCTACGATTGTGGTGACAACTCTCCTCATTGTAGTCACCAAAGCTTTCGCTTTAATTTGCAATCCACTTATTACAGGTTTGGACGAGTGGAATTCGTCTGGTCTCCTCTCAGGTGGTGTTGAGCCTTTGGCTGCACCTTCGACTCGATGACCTGCAGCAGATTGAAAAGCTATTAGTAATGTAAAACTAAAAAAAGATTTCAAAAACCATTTCGCAATCCATAATCACCCTCAACAACACAACTCAATCAAGTTTCAGCAATTTCCCTCTCTTTCCGTCAAGGTAGAAGGAAAATGCCTCGCCTGTTCGAGGTGTCCTTCACCCCTGAGAACCAGTTACTTCTTAGCAATGCGTGACTGGCCATCAAGTTGAAGTTCGGACATGACGACCAGTCCCCTTCTCCATTCCTGTAGTCTAAAAGCACGAGAATGGTTGGAGGGTTGCTTTTACATGTATGAAATCACTAGGATTTGGATAATCTGTTCTTCGACTCCTCTTCAGACACTCTCTATGACCAACTTCAAGCTTGGTCTAATCCCACCTGCCCTATGATCCGCAACATAGTGCTCCACGCTCCTCTGGCCATCCTCGAATTTCATCGTGTCATCATGAAGTCCGTACAGGACGAGGTGAGCGAAACCTCTCTTAATCGCTATAATAAACGCCAAATGATTCTCGACTTCCACAATTAGAAACCCTTATTTGTAGTTGTGAAGAATGAAAGACGGTGTGACAAGGTCCTTTGCTTCGGTAGAAATCGGAAGCAATAAAGTTATTTAAATGTCTTCTTTAAGTACCATCAAGTGGGGAACGTCTTTTGCCCACCGAACTTCGCACCCAATCACGCAAACTTTATTCGCCTTTTTTTTCCTTTACAAAAAAAAGTGTCTCCACGCAAATAACAATTGCCCAAATGACTGAACCGTTCTTCTGGCAAAGCTGCCTTAGCCGCAAAAATTAATTTACGAGAAGAAAAGTACGTGGTGAATGGTGGAAGTTGATTAAAAATGTCACTTTTTGAGCTTCTCTATGAGGTGGCTCGAAGGAGTCCCGCATTTGTCTCTCTTTTTCATGCCAAACTGTAAAAAAATTTGATAGCATAAATTTACATTTCATTTTTCCATTTCCGCTACCGAATGTCACTCGATGGATGGACAAATTCACAAGTCAGTAGACAAGGTAGGAGTTTGTGGAGGCAGTAGTGCTTAGGGAAGGAGGTTTCTTGGTTCTGCCTCCTCTACCGTTCACGGTTTAAATTATGCACGAGATGCACCTCCTTCTATCCTTCATTCAGTCACTTCGCCTCCTTAAAAAGGCATTTTAGGCGGTCAACTACAATTGCTGACAAGGTAACCACGACAATTGAATGGCTCTGACCATCCAAACAGCGGGATAATGTGTGGCAGTGGTTTGGAACCTTTTTTTTCTCATCAACGGGATCTCCATTCAAAGTGTGGTTCGAGGACTCGGGCCAGCGTTGTTTCCAGTCTTGCTAAGGCTGGTAAAATGTGGCCACTTGTGGGCGAGGGTAAAATAGAGAATGTACACCAAAAAACAAAAAGGATTTTAAAATGCTGTTCGGATTTTGAGTTTACTGTGATCGTCTTAAAAAGGAAAAGCAATAGCTACTTGTTCACTTGCCCCACCTTTTTAAAACATAGGCACCTCCTGAATGCAGAATTAACTTCAGCACTGGCAGTCTGGAAGGAAATGGAGCGCTGGATTTCGCTATCGACGTTGGAAGAAAACGATCCTCAACCCCCATTTCCACACAGACGCAATTCATGCGAATCTCGCACAAGGTAGCATCTCAAATGCAACTTAACCCTTCTTCAATCTAAACAAATGACGCGGAAAGAGTCAAAAATGTGTTGTGGCTCCTTCCGAAAGGCGAATCGAGTCATGTGAATCAGACAGAAAATGTGTCGATTGCGTAAGGAATGCCTTACGAGCCTAGAATACAAGCGAAAATACAGAATCGCAGCCGTGAATTTTCTTAACATTACAGCACTCAAGAGTATGTGCGAATTTCCTGACTCTTTAAGGCTTGTCTCTGCTCCTCCACTTCCTCCTCCTCCTCCCTAGAATCCACAGCAACTGAATTGCCTCCGAGACCTCTTGACACTTTCACCAGATTTGCCTTTGGGAAGTGGGGAACAAGATGACCGCCTTTTATGATAGAGATTCAGTCAATTATTCTTGGCGTTTGTTGGCAATAAGTGACATCCGGTCATGGCAACTTTCGGCTTCTGTTAAGCTAGGAGATAAGAAGTAGTGGGCGTTCTTTGCTGTGCAATCCTCGTTTGATTGTCGTGGACAGCTTCGCAATGAATGTAAAGAACCATCTATGGGCACATCGAAGCCAATTTGTCGGACTTGCTACAGACCTTGTGGAGGATGCCCTTAAGGATTTAGTTTTTTCCTCACCGCTATCAGTACAGCCCTTAAAGTCTTCTCTGAAGTCCCAAGAATGCGATACTCGATCGAGTGTGGACGTATAAAAGAATAGGAAACACAATGGCATATCCGTGAGGCCATTTCAAGCAGCGAAAGATCAAACCTGGAGCCCTAAGCTCCCGCAAAGCTCAATATTTGTCAATCAAACCGTCATGAAATCCTCAAAACTTCACCAAACTCCTCTAAAAACTTTATTGAGACAATTTAACGAGGTCCTTAAAACTTTGCTTGCAAAAAGATAAATTTTAAATTGCTAGAAATGCTTGATTAGCACGTCTGTGCTTTGCCTCTGTCGGTTCTCCTCCAGCTCCAAAGCCTCAAGCGATTGTGGATCAGTGCGCCATCTAAGATATGCCGAGAATCACCCCACCTCTCCTCCTCCACGGCTGTCTCATCACAGGCCTGTTGGAATGGGACAGCCATCGGACCGTGAGTGCAATTTGCATTTCCTCTATCGAAGCTTCCTCCCTCC